AATCAGCTATGTTATATTGTAAAATAAAATGAACAAAAGAAGGTGGACTGCACACTAGCGTTTATAAAAAGCCAACGCATTCTGCTAATAGACATTTAGACTTTAATTCATCTCATCCGTTCGTCATCTGTCAGTTACGGGTGGCTTAGTTAAATGTCTAACAAACCGAGCAATAGCACTAAGTAGTACAGCAAAAAACCTAAATGATGAAATGAAACAGATAGAAGAATAGCTGGTTGGTGTTAAATAACTAACTATCCTATAAAATTCATGAGGAATATCAAAAAAAGTCACAAGAAAAATAAAATTAATGGTGAAACTAGTAATGATAGGAAGAATAAGAAAGAATGTAAGGTATCTACGGTTTTACCATTTAAGGAGGGGATATCTGAGACTCTACATAGGATTCTTAACCCAAGGGAGGAATCGGGGTGGCATTTAAACTTACAAACTCACTCAGGTTGGACATGCTATGTACGTTAAAGGAGCCAGTGGACCCAGTTAGAGAAAATGACATAATTTACAAAATACTTTGCAATGACTGTGAGTTAGGTCAACTAGTAGATCGAGTGTAGTCAGATTATCAGAACATAAGAATTTAGCTAAGGTAAGAATGATTGATCCCACGAAGATAAGTAAATTAGAAAACAGTTTAGCAATTGTACTGCATGCATTAACACACAATCACACAATAGGATGGGAGGGGGTTAAGATTCTAAGAAGAAATATGGAAAAGTGGAGCGCGAGAAAGTTTGATTATTGAATCTTTGTTCATCGAGTCTACACCGAACACATGCAGTAGGAATGAATCATCACTTATACCGGAAATATGGGAAATACTACTACCAATCAAATCAAGCCATGGACAATAATGGAATTATATAAACGAAATAAGAAAGTTGTGTGAGTAGCTCCTTAATATGATTATGATCAGCAGTAAATTGTGCTAAAAATGTGGTCATCAGTAAACATTACTGTAGATGTAACACTGTGAGACTTTATCGAAATTAATTTTATCCAAAATGGAATCAGTGTCTGTAAGTATGGTATGTACTTTGCACCGTCTAGGTGCAAAGTACTGTTACAAGATTGCCAGGAGCCTGTACCTTCACTCACTCTTGCGGGTGAGTCGCTTGAAGTTGTTGATAAGTTTGTGTATCTAGGTAGTTGTGTGAGTGCTGGCGGAGGGGTGGGGGATGAGATTTTCAGCCGTATAATGAAGGCTAGGGTGACATACATCAACTTCAGCCACCTCTGGCACCGTCGTGACGTTAGCCTGGCTGTCAAAGGTCGGGTATACAATGCTTCGATGCGGGCTCTCTTGCTCTACGCCTCTCCAAGCTGAAGTTGTGCATCGGCTCTGCGTGTTCTATCATCGCAGTCTCCGCAGGATTGCTAACGTCCGATGGCATCATCGCGTCAGTAATTCTGAGGTTCAGCGGCGTGTGTTTGAACACAGTGGAGATCACCATTCATTGAGTGTCGTCACCTGGAAACACCGGCTCCGGTGGCTTGGACATGTGCTGCGGATGTCATCCCAGAGGCTTCTGTACAGGTCTCTGTTCGCTAACCCTGGGACGGGATGGAAAAGGCGGAGGGGTGGTCAGTCCATGAAGTGACGTCGTGGGATAAAGGATGTTTGTGTTAGATTATCATCGGTTGGTGCGTCACGACTCCCTGGTTGGGGTCCGCGGGATAGCTTGAATCGATGGCTCGAAACGTTATCAGATATGGTCAAGAATCGTAATCAATGGTGAACGTGTTACAATTTCCTTCCCTTTCCGACAATAATTGACGAATGATTTTTGAACTTGCTACAAATGACTGTTTTCCTTCCAGACGAAGTTCTTTACCCGTTCTCTACTTATACTTTTTACTTTGGATCTGTGTTGTTTTAATATTATTGTGTGGCGCATCTTTCTTGGTGCCATATTGTACCAATTTTTTTTCTGCGTTTAAATAAAATAAATCTTTGGACACTCATAACGCTAAACTATCAAATCCGATGTAGAAGATTCAAGTTCTGAAGAAAATATACATAGCAAACGGACACTGGAAAAACAAATCTTCAGTGCAATTTCCCATCTCCTTGTTCAGCAATTTGATATTTTTATGCACATCACACTATGAAAGTATAGAGTGACTGAGGCAAAGACTTGAAGGGTCCATGGAAATAATCGGATGAGTGAATCAATTTGAAGACACGGTTATATCACAAAATGTGAAACAGCATTATTTACTGAATGACGCTTATAATTATATAAAGTATAACTTAACAACTTCTAGACTTGCATTTTCATAGTTCAGTTAATTTCTTCTATAGAAAATCCAAGGCAGGAATTAAGATAGAGAAAAGAAGCTTTGAAAATTAATAATCATCGTAATAAATTAGTTAGGAAGTAAGCAGGAAATTATGAAACTAAAATTAGTAGTAATATTAGTGTTCAGGACGACATACATGATAGATATATACAGAAAGATGATAACACCGACAATAAGGGATTTGAATCATCTTGAGTGATTCTGTGCAAGGAAGGGATCTCTGACACCTTACATAGAATTCTTGACAAAGCAACAGTAAAAGTGACATTTAAACCCAAGAAGTTATTTAGAGCACAATGACTTGGGCTAAGGAGTCTTGAGGACTCCATGAAACAAAATAATTTAGTTTATCGATCAGCCTTTAATAGGATGTGAAATCGCTGCCTCATCGACCTTCAAAAGGCCTTAGACAGCGTTGACCAAGAAGTAATCTGGAAACTACTTCAACACTATTGTGTGCAGTGCCCAAATCTTCATCAACCCCATTCAACGGCCATGCGACAAAGAAACGTGTAACGGAAAATTCAAAGAGGCATTTGAAGTGAATACAGCGGTAAGATAGGGTAGCCTGCCTGTTATCACCGATAATATTCTTAATTTTGGTCAGCTGAATTATGCGTCAAGCTGTGCAGGTGTGAGAAGGCAGGAATACGTTAAACCGATAAGAAGACTCGATATGGAAGATCTAGATTTCGCAGATTACTTGTGTCTAATGTGAGACAAATTCAAAGAATTGCAGGCAAGATAAAACCAGCAAACTGCCTGAAGAGGCTGGCAGGCAGCGAAGACGGGACTCCAAGTGTAAATGAAGAAGATGGAGGTGATTAAGATAATCAACCGACAGCAACAGCAACAACAACAACCGACACCAGTCACCATCAGAAGGAGAGATTTCATAGAAGTTATTTCCCGGCTTCATTTATCTGGCTAGGGAGCACGGTTTCAATCAACTACAGGCAGGCGGAATGGATGAAGATGTCAAAGCCAGGAAGAATCGGAAAGGCAAGGTATACCTTTAACACTGTGAAGTCAGTTTGGAAATCTGCTGACCTCTCTGCATAAAGAACCTAATTCGAATTTTAAACACAAATGTGAAATTAGTCCTTCCATAGGGCTCAGAGACTTGGCTAATCTGTCAAGAAATACATGTACAACAGCCCACTGCAGACTTCCATCAACAGCTCCATTAACTGACTCCAAACTGAAGGTCAAATAGTCAGCCCGCCATAAAGAACTAGCGACAAGAAACTCTGGCTGAGAAAAAACCAACAAGTGAGAACCTACTGCCATAATGGAGATGTACTGGGCATACTCTGATGAGACCGCTGGTTGACATCACGCGCCAGGCCACTGCTCGTGTGTAACCGGGCATGGGAAACGACGAGTGGGGCGTTGGTCCCGGTTTGACATGAAGGAGATCGTACGAGAAGTAGACGAGAGACTTTAGGCAATCGCAAGGCCAGCTAAACAGGACCGCAAAGGACGGTAAAACGTCAAGGTGTGTTTTTGAAGCCCTTTTTTCCACTCAGGACCCAAGGGAAAAATAATAAATAACAATAACAGCCTGTAATAATTGTGAGGTCAAATACACAGGCCAGGGTAGTAAGATTGGGTCAATTAGACTGTGAGAGCATAAATACCTAGTAAAGTCTGGATTATTTGAACATTATAAGATAAGAAATCTAGAAAACAATGCCCAACTATACTACTATATACAACTACACACTACTCTGCACTAGGATGGGATAAGATGATAGTCTTAAATTCTAACAAGACAAGTTGAAGGGGTAGATTGATAAATGAGGGCTTTATTTTTCGAACCAATTAAGAATGCCTGCAGCAGGAATAACCCAACGCCTATTCCAGACATCTTGAAAATTCAACTACCCCTACGCCTAATAGGAAAGCATAAAGACAACAAGACAAGTCCAAGTTTCGAAGCTATCTAGCTACGATTGATGATGATTATCAAGACTAAGGTCTGCCTAGAATCTGTGGCGTGGAGGTAGAATGCTCACCAGCAACTCAGGTGGTCCAGGGTTCAGTTCCCGGTCAACGCAATCCCAAATCTCGCTTAGCTAGTAATAAGCCTGGCAAAGAGGGAAGCATGGGCGGGAGACTAGCAATCCCACCAAGTAAAAATAAAACCACTGCTACAGAAACTTCAAAGCCTTAGCTTGAAGCAGCCCTATGTTCCACTGGGAATGCAAATATATATAAGAAAACAGTTGTGTCTGAAAATCCGTCTTCGAGTAAATGATGCTGCTCCACTCACTGTGTGATATATATTCAATAAACAAATTAATACGGAATTACATACTACCATAGTGCCCAAGTTCTACACACACGCACACACTCAAACTGAAGACAAAGCCTCCATTCAAGAAATTCACAATTGGCGATTCTCAATGTATACCAGTTTGACAGGTGAAATTTTCACCGGAGTTTCATTTAGAAATTAAAACATTCAGGTCATAGTGCATGCGATCTGCTTGATACCAGCAAGATAGCGAGCACTACCAGTTGATATGCCTGATACACAACTACTCATTTCCATCAGTCAGTAGTATATAGCTTTATGTGTTAAGCGTTCATAAAATATCACCAACATGATCGATAAAATCAATAAATTTAAAAATTAGAGGGGTACGTGGGTGAGTGGGAAATAATTGACTTACATCCACCGTAATTTGATTTCTCAGCCTGCCTTCTTAATATCTGTTGATGTTTCAGCGTAGCCTGCCCACTTTTAGTATGCGTTATATCGACTGGAGCTGAAAAAGGCTGAAAGGCAGTCTCGTAATCACTATCCCCAATGCGTGATATCCGATGACCTGGTGATGTTGACCATGTTGCGTGTCGTTCATTTTCATCCAGTCTTGTAGGAAGTTTGGTGATGGCAGCTGCAGTAGTAGTAGTAGTGGTAGTCATCTGTATTGTCATCGTCCGACCATTGGTTGTTGTTGTCGTCGTCGTAGTAGTAGTATTCCTGGAAGCTGAGTGCTTTTCTCTGTTCATATCTGTCGTCTCACTGACATTTTCATTCATTGCTACTGTTGTGTTAGTAGGCGCAGAGGTTTGTTCCAGTTCCACAGTGGTTGCTGTTGTGTCTGTCTCGCCCATTGTTGTTGTAGTAGTGCTAGTATTACTTCTCTCCTCTTTAGTGATATCATCACTCATATAAGGAGTTGTTGACGCTGCATGGTAGGTGTCATTGTCGGCAACCAATGAACTGTCCGCATCCAACTGTTCATAAACAGCTCGTTTTCGTTTAGCGGAACGCTGTGAGTGGTAGTCTGCAATTTTACCATCTGGTGATGTATATACATGCGGTAATGATGGCATTTTTCAGGATGTTTTCTTCCACGGATAATCAGGCGAATTGTAACACCTAAAATTCAAAGTATATTTAAAAAAAGAAGTAATTAGTAAGAGATACATTTTCATTTAGCATGTTAAACAAGTCAAATCGCTACAGAGAAACTTTTGAAAATTAATCTTACATGCTTGCTAGTGACTGGCTATAGGATAATAAAGTTGCATGGAGTTCTAATGAGAAGGTGTGACCAGTGTGGTTCACTCATTTGGATAGTGTGAACATATACTTGCCTCTATTGACACTGGCTGGTGGATGGTGATGAAATCACGAATTGGAAAAAGTTAGAAATCGTGAATTTTCAAGTGTTGGTTTTGTAGGGATTTTAAAACAAGCAACAAAGGTTAATAAAGTAGGATTTAATGATGGATTCATCAAATTTCGGTAGAACTCGTCAGCTGAATACTCTACATACACGGATATATATATACACTATTGGAATTACATTGGGAGATACAAGACTGATAAGTAAATAAACTACATTGAATTAGTCATGCAGAAAGACAAGTGCCAATGTTTTCCAGGTCATGTTCAAATAGATAAGGGGAGAGAGAGTATGAGAGATCAAAATTAAGATAAATAGCATTACGCTTCAATTACATTACTTAGATAAGCAATTAGACATTAGAGAATATAACAAAAATTGCAAACAGATTAGTATCAATAGTAATAGTTATAATAATAATAATAGTGTTGAAGTGAGTAAAGATAATCCTACTGATAAAGGATAGTTTTAAATGAATCAAGAATAATAAGAGGTAGAATATTAAATAAACGTATTACCGTGGTAGATTCAGAGTGAGGACCATCTCCTTTTGCACACAGAGATCTGGTTTATAAACTCGAATTGCACAAGGCTCTGCAATTGCAAGCATCTTCTTGTTTCTTTGTCTGCTGACATTAGTGAATGACTTGACCGCGTCGATATCATGTCCGTAATCCACAAGATGTTTTGTTATTTAGGATTTTGGCACTTTGCACTCAGCTGTTTTCAATCATTTTGACAAATGCTCCATCATGCGAGTAGACAATCGCCTTTCCGTATGACCTATGTATTTGCTTCCACAAACACACTCAAATTGATATACGCAGTTTGAAGTGCCAAGGATTGTTGAAGCACTCGCTTAGTGGTGTTAAGGAAAACAAGTTTTGCAGCATAATAAGGTCTCTTGATGGCTTTGTCGAGTCTTCGATTGACTACTTCCTGTACATCATCTCCTTTGAACGGCAAACTGACATGGACAGGTTTCTTCGGAACTGTTTGGATTGTTTTGCAGGGGCTATTTTCTTTATGGTATTTATTAATGAACTTCTCAGGGTATCCATTCTTAGATAAAATATCTTTCAGAGATTTTATTTCATGCTCAAAAGGACTGTCGGAGTTCTACCGAAATTCGATGAATTCATTAAATCCTGCTTTATTAACCTTTATTGCTTGTTTTAAATTCGTATCGGGAGATAAATATTTTCAATTCTTGTAGGGATTTTGTTTGATTAGCTGGAGGATTTCATCATGAGCTGACGTCGGTTAGGGAGCTGTTGGAAAACCAGCTAGGAGTACTGGACAGCCAACTGTTTCATCCTAGTTTGAGACCCTTCATCAGTACACAACCAACCAGGACCTTCTGGTTACAAATCGAGCTGGCCTTCAGTCCCAAACTAGAACGAAACAGTTGGCTGCCCAGTACTCCCAGCTGGTTTTCCAATGACTCTCTAGCTGATGTCAGCTCATGATGAAATCCCCTCACCAATCAAAAAAAATCCCTACAAAGCCAATACTTGAAAATTAATCTGATGCTCTCTAGCGACTGGCGATATTCAGGTAGGTCTACCCCAGGCCCTGGGGTTCTAGTGGGAAGCCGTGACCCGTAGGATACGGTAGGTTGAAAATGAGGCAGTAACTCATCGAAGGAGAAGACTGCGAAGTGGTTGCGCTATGTCATGAATTGGCAGATGTTGGAATTCATGGATTGGCCATTGGATCGGGTTCCAGTGGCTACACTGTTTACAAGCTCGCTGGCCTTGTAACCAGAACATCCTGGGCTAGACCTCCTGTGGAGTGTGTGTGCTGATGACGAGTTCCAAACTGAGGAGACAAAATAGCTGTCCAGTACTCCCAGCTGGTTTTCCAGTGCTTCTCTAATTGAAGCCGGCTCATGATAAAATCCTCCAACCAATTCGTGGATTATTGACTCGGCTGTCAGTGGCTGGATGGTCTACAAGGTTAACTTGCAACCGGAAGGTCCTGGGTTTGAAACCTAGTAGATGGGTACTGTCACTTAGTCACAAGTTATGACGAAATGGCTGTTCAGTACTCCGTTGTGGTTTTCCTTGATACTCTAAGTGATATCAATCCGTGATTAAACGTGAGACAGATCACATGTGTCAAAACGCATCGATCATCAGTGCGTTGGCGGCACACTGGTTAGGATGCTCGCCAAGCAACCAGATGGTTGGACGTTCGATTCCTGGCTGAGGCACTCCTTCACCTCACCAAGCCAGTAGTAAGATTGGTAAACAGGGAAGGTTGGGCATGAAGCTAACAAGCCCATGCTGTAAAAATAAACACCACTGCTACGGAAACTTTAAGCCTTTAGCTTGAGGCCCTATGTTCCACACAGAACATAACAGAAAAAAAATCAATAGTTCATATATCAATAGTAATATTATGCTCAAAACAAGTAAAGCGTGCTGTAATCCATGAGTCACATTTTACCACAGATACCAGTCCTCCTAGTCCCCACATTCCCTCCTAAGGGCACAACTAACACACAGTTGTCCCGATCTGAATGTTAAATGAGATCATACCCAATTATCTAAGGGATGTTGATTGGTGCTTCTTGTAGATTAACTTTGGGATATTTAGAAATCAAATCTGAAGCATTAAAGCTCCTCTACTTTTGAATTAGCCGGCTAGGATATGGGCACTGTAATCTGTTTAGGCTGACTCAGATGAGTCGAAATGGGTGTACCGCTAATGAGCACATTTACAAGCGAGGGGAACCCTTCGGTCTAGTCGGTGAGCATCACTAGTCAGTATGAATAACTTCCAGCTTCTCTTAACAAGCCATAGAATATCTCGTCTCAGCTGGCTAATTCGTTCACACATTCTTCACATGCTAATGGACATAAACCATCTAGTGGTACTCACACTGTAAGCTGGTGATCTAATCGCTAGTGACAACGTCGTTCACCATTATTACAATTTCATCAACACGTGAAAGTAAAACTGGAAGATAGACAGTTAACCGTGAGTTTCTTCTGTATTGAATAACACTCGAATTAATTGACAGTGATGCTCATTGTCCTTCCAGACAAAAGGTATACGCGTACTGAAAGGACAGAACGAATTATGCAGGTGGCGATAAGAATAAGGAAGGTAGTAATATGTGTTTGTGTGTGTAGACAATTCAATAAATAAACAAATTAGGTCAAATCTTATAAGTTACGCAATACTAAAAGTGAAGCGGACAGATAATCAGAGTTTAAATAAATATCACAAAAGTACGAAGGAAGCGGAAATATAAGAAACGGTGAGAGGGTTTTGAATAGAATTCACCTAGGCTAAACAAGGGAGAGACAAAGGTAGAACAAACTTCTTTTGTTGTGTGCAAAGTCTAGGATTGTTCTCTCGAATTAATTCCCATAACTTCGGCTATGTGTAAAAGACGGATTCGAATTCCATCCGAAAGGCTCAATGGAATGCGATAAATAACTTTGAAGGCACTTTTTTTGTCCACTTGATGACCGCTATCAATCAAATGAACCAAAACAGAACTTCTAATAGATTTTATTTGACCTTTTCCGAACCATGAAGGAAGATGCTCATTAATGCTTTTGTTAAGCTGTCTAGCTGTTAGCCCTATATAGCTCTCTCCACGGGAGCAACCAAATTTATACATACACATAGATGTGGCACAGCTAGGTAGCTTGTCTTTCACTTGAGCAATCATAATTAGTCGGCTGGAAAATGATAAAAAACTGCGATGGCAGTATAATTCCGTTTTTATTCCTCTCGGTAAACTTAGATTATTGTCATAATCATACAATTTCAATAATTTGATCCACAAACTCACTGTCATTGGTTAAAACTATTTTTTCATATATAAAGCCATGTAAGTTAGAGTAAAGCCTGAAGAAGATCTAATTGAAAACAGCAATAGTGTTCGCTTGTGTGTCTTGTTCTAATAATACAGGTAGAACTGATGAGACCTAGTTGAAACCTGCAACAACAGGTCAGTACACTCATTTTTTGAGTTTTGTACCTTTGAAATATATAGGAGTAACCTGGTGAAGTGTCTGGTTCATAGAGCTAGATTAATCTGTTCAGATGACTGCCTCAATGAGGAGCTTAAGATTATTAGAGAATTATTTAGAAAAAATGATTATCCAGATAAGTTCATTGAGAAAAATATGAATTCAACACCTAGGAGAGTCAGTATGGCGACGGTTCCAAGAAAACCACTGTAAATAAAACTGCGGTTCCTCGGTGACAACATCAACGAAATAAATAACACAGCGCCTGAAGAATGCAGTCGAAAGAGTTTATTATGCAGCAGATTTACGTTGTCTCTTCACAACCATCCCTATTCTACGTTCAAGAAATAAGGATAAACTACGTAAATTTGCCTCCTCTATGTATATCTACTAGTTTGACTACAGCTGTAGAGTCAGCTACATCAGTTGTTCGATGAGGCAGCTTCATCATCATCCAACATGGTTAAGCAGCAAGGGACAAACAAGATCTATTCGTAGCTCTATTGCAGCACACCTTGTAGATAGTAAGCATACCGTCAACGTCAATACTGTATTTAAAATTATTTATCGCGTTCCTGTTAACCTTAATTTTGCTGTACGAGTTCGTCTCATACATACAGCAGCTGAAGCAATCGGAATCCACCTGAAGAAGAAGCCAAACTTGTGTGTTCAGAAGAAACTCGTACAGACACTTTCTTTATCCTGGCTATTG